CGACACTACTAATTCGTTACGCCCTTTTTTAACAAAGAAATAACTTCGCCAAATGCTCCTTTCTGCTTTTTATCTTGTTTTGGTACATAAAAATCTCTCCTAATAACAAAGGAAAAAGGTCTCTATTGTGAAATCTCCGAGCTACCTTCTTAGAAAAATAGAAGAGTTGTTTTTCGTAGAAAGTTACTTTCCATTGGTAAAAGCTACGAAAATGAACCCCAGTAGCCCAGCAATTTAATGTCAATTTCGCATGGCATCCTTCAGCCAATATCCCCTCCCAATTTTCAACCTTCGCTTGCCTAAGCACTTCTAAGTTCACAATCCGATGTTCATTTCCAAGTTGGTTCCTGTGGCAAGCGGTCTTATCTTCGACAATCGGCGGTAAGTGGATTTTCAATTCACCCTTATTTATCTTTATACAGTGTGTCTTATATTAATTTTTTCTCTTTTGTCGAACAGACGCCTTCCAATTGAAGTCACTTCTGTTTGCCGTTTAGATTACACCGTTCAGATTTTACCGTTCATATTCTACGCTACATTGTTCAGATTCTACACCGTTCTTCTACTACTCTTCTCTCACCGTATTGCACTACCTTGGTCTAACTGCCTCTTTTCGTCGGCCTAAGGTAATCTAAGGTATTACGTTAAGAAGACCGCAATTCTTTGTGGCTGTCATCCCAACTACCTGTATTACGGACCGAAGTCAAGTGCCTTATTGAGGGCGTAATACCAATATTAGAATACACCTGTTTTGTGAGTACCTATAATTTTTATTGACTAAACTGTGATAACGAAATCTTTAGAAGTTGATTTATGACTCCAGTTCAGTGTACCTTCTTATTTATGGAGGTTTAGTTTGACTGAGTATTTTATAAAAATACAGGATAATATATACGTATAAATAACGGACCATTTATTTTATATGTAGATTATCTTTCTAATAAATTTTATTCTTAGATTTGAAGTGATCACGATCAAAAACCTAGTAACTTCATATTCAGGTATCCTCAAGGCGTAAAATTCACTTGCTTGCAAATTAACGTAGATATAATTATAATGTTCCTTGCCTTTTTCTAATTCTTGAGGATACTAAATTATTTATAACTATTTTTCAAAGAGATATTTTTTGTTTGTAATTAATAATAAGTTGCGCAATAATCATGCAATTTAACTATCCAATAAAATTTGGTATAGTACATTTACTTTAACAAATATACCTAAATATAATTTTGTTAAAGATCTATTTGCTTTTTATTTCTTTTATATTTTTGTATATAATTTGAATTTATATTTTTGTGTTTCTCTTCCAGGCATGTTTTATTGAATTATAATTATTATTTGTTTGATCGTATATTTTGTGTATATGTGTCGAAATATTAGGAGTGTACCGCATAATTCCGATACCTTTTCTCTCACGGTTTACTTTCTTCTCGCGTGAGTTCTCTAGCTGTACCTTACCTTTCTCGTCATCCTTTTCTATGTGCCTTAAGGTTTCCCTGTTCCTCTAAAAATAGGGTGGTGCCCAAATAACTTTTCTTCTCTTATCTCTTATCTTCTCTTCTAACTTCTTGTCTCTGTGTTGTAAGTACTTTTTTAATTGATCCGTGATATTTGAGCTGTAACAAGAACCCCGACCAAGATACCTCTACCAGACTGAAGCCCGAGCCTAGTACCGTTCTTTGTGTAACCCCCAATCAATCATCGAGAGGGTACATTGCTCAACGAAATGTAACGCAGCAGCCGCAACGACCTCAGACGCATTTGTCACAGAAACTGAATCACCTGCTTATTGTGAAGATTGTGTCAAAACTTATTCTGACTAGAAAAAGCTCATTACTGTTATCAGCTGAGTAGGCTGTTCAATGGAATTGTCTTTCAATGGTATGTTTGTGGTTTCAACGGGCTCGTACATATAATCTGAAAATATATCAAGGTTCAGCGTCTAGATACTAGTGTTTTTAAATTTGTGACATGCAATTTGCACCGTAGAAGATGCGTAACAATACATCCAGGATGTGCCCTTAGGGATTTAGCAACTTCTTGGTTATAGTAGAACTTCAAAGGCCTAAAAAACGTCAAGAGCTTTGCATAAGATCACTGCAATGTGGAGGCAGACAAATAACATGAATACCGTTTTCTTTTGCAAATTGCAAAGTTTCAGTACCTTTACGATTTGCGTGTTAATAGACAATTAGAATTGCTTGCTTTTACAAAATTTGAAAATACTTTATCCAGTTTATAAATACTTTCAAACCACAAATCTTTTACTATAATTAACCGTGGAACATTCCTAACATAACAACTACCTAATTTCTTTTTATGCCCACCCAATTTATTTGTAAAGTTGTTCAGTAAATCCAAATCTTAAAGGCTTCTAATTTTCTCAGTAATCTCTGTGTAAGTATCCCGTTTTCCGATAAGTTCTTCTCGTATAATTTAAGGCCCAGTATCATCCTTAAATTCTTTTGGTGCTTCTGTTCTCTCTTTGTCTTCAAAAATGTGTGCTATATATTGTGTCCATCTCTGTATTTTTTGGTTTATAGCTGTTATAAGTGCACGACTTTCATCTCTTAGTTGCCTAGTTTAAAATGTTTTTCTCGTTCCTGTTAATTCTCTAATTCTTTTATGCGTGTTAAAAATGTCATATTTTTTCTTAATTCCTTCTAGTTCTTGGCAGTGCTCATGTAACATTCTCTCCTTAGCCTCTTTTATTCTCTTTTTAATTAATCGATCAGTTTCATTATATTTAATTGGATTTTTTGTTTTGAAATGATTTTCTTTCATTCATTAATAGTAGTATTTCTTCAGTCATCAGTCTTTATGTTTTCTATTTTTTGGTTTTAAGTTTTCATTTGCTATTTTAATTATTGCTACTTTTATATTTTCCCATTTCTGATTAATGTTATAGCTTCTTTTATTCAATTCTTGGGCATTACGTAGATTTTCAGTAAGAACTTTTTTCAGTAAGAGATTAATATGTAGCTATTGTACTATAATGTAATTATAATTATATGTAATTACATTATAATACAATTAAACCTAAGATTAATACTGTTATAAATGAAAAGTCCTATGCGTCCTATCTAATAGGTTCCGTTCTGGAATTATAAAATAAAAACAAATATGTGTTGTATTACAAAGGATACCGTCCAGATAATTGCCGTTTAAACCAATTATTATTATACGTACGCTTCCTGATTTTTCGAATAGCCTTGTATATATTTGCATAGCGTATCTATATAATTTTCCTACCAATATAGTTGAAAACAGAAATCGACAGTCCTCGTTCGATGGCGCATTAGCATTCAATTTAAAAGTGTTAATTGGTATAGATTGGAAATATTAATAGATCATTTTCATTTATGAGTTTTTTTTGTGTATAGATTTCCATGTTTAAACGTTGTGACATGATAAACGCTTGTAAGTTTCCTTATTAATTTTTTATTTGGGTTTTGTTCAGGTAATTGTGTGTTGTTTATAAACAATTTTGTATAATACTACTGAAAACAAGGTCAGGGAAAAAAGTCATAAGGTGTATTATCAGCATAGGTATGAGCTAATTATTTATTTAAAATACGTAACCGTATAGACAATTATAATTTTTTTCTAAAATTTCTTTGTGTATGTTTGCACATAATGTATTTAATATGCTTACAATATATATAAAACAATATATATATATATATATATATATATATATATATATATATATATATATATATATATATATATATATATGTATTATATATATAGTAAACTCTTAAATATTGGGGAAATCTGCAAGAAGATACTCTAATGAGTATCAATAAAATTGTTTCGCCGAACGTTTTCGCCAAATAGAATTAATTTGGCTTCTTCAGGGCTAAAAGAGAAGAAATTATAATAAGCTACCATATATTATCTATTTAAAAAAACACTGGAGATCTTTAAATAGATAATATATGGTAGCTAATTATAATTTCTTCAATTTTAGCACTGAGAAGCCAAATTAATTCTCCTTTGGCGAAAACGTTCGGCGAAACAATTGATACCCATTAGAGTCTTTCTTGCAGATTTCCCCAATATTTTTAACTTATCTGCAAAGATTAAAATTCTTTTATTCATAATTTCATAATTTTACAGGTGGAGTACCTACTTAAACATTATATTTGATGGTTGTTCGGAAAACGATAAGTACATAATTAATAATAATTGTAGCGGAAACTATTGTCGATATTTAAAAATAGTATTATATACAGGGTGTTTCAAAAAGGTATGTCATAAATTAAATCACGCATTCCGGGGACAAAAATAAATTGATTGAATCCAACTTACCTTAGTACAAAAGTGTACACAAAAAAAGTTACAGCCCTTTGAAGTTACAAAATAAAAATTGTTTTTTTGCATTATCTCCTAAACTACGTGATTTTTTGTAATAAAAATGGACACGTTACTTTCTTGTACTGAAAGCATTTTCATAAAAAAGAAACAACAAAATATAAGCGCACAGAAAAATTTTAAGGGGGTGTGCAGCCCTAAATCACCCCAAACTTTTGAGTACGTTCAAATCAAATGAATTTTGTGGCATCATTAGTTTAACACATTATTTTAACTTTTTTGCCTCTTATCACTTTTTCGAAAACTAGTTTTTTCCTAGTTGGCCATAACATTACAGTTAGTTCCTTCGGATACAATAATTACAAACAGTTCCATCAATAATAGTCAATAATTTGAAGCTATCATTTATGGTGTGAATAAGATTAATATTAAATAAACAGCCAAGGCCCACCCGGGGTTGTAGCGCTTGTTTTTGATTTTAAATAATTTATATTTATCCTTAAATGTTAAAAAATATTAATTTAAATTTATTTGTCATCCATTATTGTCGATAAAAAACATAAACGATGTTCTCAAACTTAAGCGTCAACCTTAGAAAACAACCCCATTGAACCTTGATATTGACAGATTGATATATCTACCTTATGACGCTTGACAGTTGCCAAATTCTGACATTTGTAAATTGACGTTTAAGCGAGAATTGCTTTGTAAATTATTTTATTTACTTAAAAATAATTCTTGGATACAAATTATAGAATATTTACGGCAATGGCTCTCGAAACTCCAGATCCAAATAAAACTAAAAAACCGTCTGGTGAGTTAAGCGTTAAAATATATGAACTTATGGCCAAACCTACTTTTTTACACCCATTTATTGATTTAGAACTTTTAAGTATACATTATTTAGTAAGCAAATATGATTGTATAGGTTTCTCCAGAATACATTTGTTTAAAAAACACAAAACACGTCAGCTAATTGGCATGTACTTATTCATTATACAAGTATAAGGATTAAGTATGACCTAAAGTTATCTTATATTTTTATTTCAGTAATATGAATATTTGCAATATAACTCTTCTACAGGAACACTACTTGTAACATGTAAAAATAAGCAATAAAATAATTAAAACTAACTTCAGAAATAAACTTTTGAAGTAAATTTAAAACCTAGTTTTCAATAGCCTTGATGTCATTTATAATTCAAATGAAAAAAATCATTATGTGGTCAGAACTGCAAATAGTAAAATTTGAAGATGTCTTCAATTTATTTGTTAAGTCCCATGTATTTATTCACAGTTGTCAGATTTCATAATGATAATAAAAAAATTGGCATGGAACATGATAATTATGTACTTAAAATATTGTAAAACTAATGTTAAAAAATCTAGCCAATTTTCTTTACTTTAGAACTTCACCAAGGTTTCTTCCAATAGGAACATTTCGTGTAACTATGTTTTGGGATGGGTAAATATTGTCGTAAAATATTTATATTGTTAAAATCTCCACAAAAATTATATTGGTTTAATTAATATTTGCTCTACATGATTTTAATATTTCATCCAAATCTATTATTATTAAAATATTAATTACTTATGCTTTGGTACTGATATTTCCTTAGGTGCTGTTTTCTAACTTTTCTTGTTAAATTATCTTCAATGTTTTAGATCCAGCTCACACATTGTAATATCTGCCAACCATGCTTGCCAGGTAACATCATCTTCAAAGCCTATTCCCCATCAATGTAAGTTAATCACTCTTGACCTCTAGAGTTTTGTATGCCTCAGGAGTGTAACTTTGGGGCAGATCACTAACTTATTAATTTCTTATTTTTTGTCTATTCTGTTCTAGATTTCATGGTTTTAAGTTTTTACATGGGCTATAGACATGTATTCCCATTTTTTATTAAAATCTTTGCTTCTTCCGTAATACTGTGGTTTATTTGGATAAAAATATTTAAACAAATTTCTTTGTTGTCTAATCAGGTTTTTTCTGAAGTTACAAGGTTTGTGTTTTTTGTTTATTCATGTCAATCCCAATCATGTCCACAAAGGCTTACAAATTTGTTAGCTTACTGAAAATAAGGCCAATGTCTCTCATTTTCCCTATCTACTTTCTCATTATTATGGCATATCTCATTCTAATTATGGCAAATTTGTGTAAATCACATTATCAAAGTAGAAGAAATTCTCTTAAGTAGAAAACCTACTTAAGAGCAAAAACATTCTTTTAATGTGTCTCACTCGAATAGTTAATACTTCTGGCATTAGAACAACCAGTAGTACTTGTCAATCTGACCATATTATCAAACAGTATTTCTGTTTCATTCCAGTGATAAATAGGAATCTGTTGTTGTTCAAGATAACCTTCTCGTAGCATGTCGTGTAAGCAACAAGCATTTTCCACTACATGCAGAGCATGACATAGTCTGTACTTAAAAATATCTTTCTGGGTGTCATGACGTGCAAGTCTTTGGAAATATGGCTTCATCGTAAATGTATCAAGAGCAAAAACTTTATCACCCACTAGGAAATGTGGGAAAATATCAGTTGTCTGTGGTAAATTTTTCAATTCAGGAAAATTAAATGCAGAGTTCTGTATTTTCTTTCCAATTTCTGACATTTTGGATATATTGCTGACTCCTTCTTTACCATAAGAGCCAAGAAGTTTCCAAAAAGACATGTACATGAAGTTTGTACTCCAGTAGCGCTCAATACTGAACTTCTGGCATTATCTTTGGATTCATCAATGAATGAATTATATGAACTATGAAGTGAGGGCAATATGACTATTTTATATCCTTTTTAATTAGAAAAGAAAAAATATCGGATGACTATACATATGATTTTTTCAAACACTCGCCATTTCGTTTATAATCTAAATTAAGAGTTCTATCGCTTCTCATTTTTGCAGAGATATCCAGAGTATATTGTGATAAAAAAAATTATTTAGAAAGGTTGTGCAGATTTACTATTATAAACATTTTCATATCAAATTTGGTGGTTCGCCTGTTGCCTACTTTTAAACTGATCTAAAATTTGATAAACCCACATTGAAAAAAATTTTTATACTATTATTTATGTTTCATGAGCATGGTGCATCATTATACAAATAATTTTTTTTGTTGCAGATAGTGCATTTAAGCAGCAAAGACTACCAGCATGGCAACCAATTTTAACTGCAGGTACAGTCCTTCCTTCATTCTTTATCATCGGAATTGCCTTTATACCAGTTGGTATAGTATTGCTGTATTTATCAAATGAAGTTAAAGAAATTGTACTTGATTACACCCATTGTAATAAAACAATAACTAATAGTGAAGGCAACTGGACAGAATTATCTGAGAAATGTGTTGACTTTATTAAAACAAATAGAGATGATCCATGTGAATGTACAATTTCATTTAAACTGAAAGAAAATTATGATGTAAGTATTATACTTTTTAATGACAAATTCTTAAATGTATTATATAACAGAATCAGCAATTGTCAAAAAAGACATAAAACTACAAAACAAAATTCTTTCTAGAAATATCCTTTGCATTACTTGAGCCCTGGTTGAAGCGTGGTGACATGTTATTAGCTTTTTAGATTTGACAATCACATAAGAAATACAATTTGTATGTTCCAGTAGCATTTGAACATGGCATAAATATAATTCCATCTTTATTCACTTTACTGCCTGGTGCACTCGCTTATTTTTTTTTATTGGTGTAGTGTCAGACTAGTTTGAGCATGTGCTTGATTCTTTAGAGAATATGAATGTTTTATTGGAGGATACTCTCATAAAAGACCACTCTCATCTGCAATATAAATTTGGTCAGGAAGAAGACTCAGTTCTTTTACTTGGTCTTTAAAATGCTTGATAAATGGCTGCACTACAAATTTGTTTATTAAATATATATTACTATGTCGGTGTACTTAATCTAAACCTCTTAAAAAAGTCTCTATCATTACAAAAATTAAAACTTTGACTTCAATATGAATCTTCATTATGGTGTAGGTATAGTTATAGATGTACCATTTACTACTTACTGTTGTTTGAACTTGAAGTTAGAATCTTTGTTTTATTTGTTCTTATTACATGCTTTTCTCTAGGGTAAAGTATATATGTACTATGGTTTAAGCAATTACTATCAGAACCACAGAAGATATGTGAAATCTAGAGATGACAATCAGTTACTAGGAAAATTGAGCCCAAAACCCTCAACTGATTGTATGCCATTTGACTATGTAGTTGATAATAAAACAAATCCATCTAAAAAACCTATTGCTCCATGTGGAGCAATTGCTAATTCAATGTTCAATGGTAATCAAATTTCTTTATGTTTAAAATTAAATAATACATTTACGTAAAATATTTTCCAGATTCTATAACATTGAGCATGATAGATGATAATGGAAAAATTGTACCAATTCCTCTTCTCAGAACAGGCATTGCTTGGGAGTCTGATAAAAACATAAAATTTAAAAACCCACCTGGTTCAACTTTAGAAGAAGCATTTAAAGGATATGCCAAGCCGATTGATTGGAAAGTAGATATTTGGAACTTAGATCCGGACAACAAAGAAAATAATGGTTTCCAAAACGAAGATTTTATAGTATGGATGCGAACTGCAGCTTTGCCTACTTTCAGAAAGTTATATAGAAGAGTTGACCACAGTCAACCTGAATTTTCCTCAGGTTTGAATAATGGAACATACATTTTGAAGATTCAGTACAGTAAGTAATAGTTTTTTTATTTATTTATAATTGTGATCTACAAGGTTATCACCTTTTGTATCAAAGTCTGTTCTACGAAATACCAAAAAAGTTACAAAAATAAGAAAGCTAAAGCTGTAAGCTTCACATTTTTTATTTTTAAATTTAAAATTCTCTTCACATCCTCATTAGAAGAATAAAAATTGTATTATGTTATAATATACTTTATTTAAAAAGTAATAACTAAATTTCAATGAAAATCGTTACAAGTTCAATGTACCTGTATAAATGAAAAGCAGTACAAAAGCAACAACCTGGTTTAGTCATAGTTTTTAAATGATTGTTAAAATTCATTAAAATAATTGGTTTTCCTAATACACATTAAATCTAATACAGGATTTTAAATCTTTTAGAGAGATTTTAAATTTTAGTGGAAAATATAGGGTATTTCATGAATTAAATTTATTATTTTTATTCACTTTACTATATACTATATTTTAACACTTTTAAGTTTGAATTGTGTGATCGTTGAGTAAAATTATTTAAATGAATTCTTTTGTTTGATTTATTTTTAAATGTTCAAAATAACTTAATCTCCCTATTAAATTCATAGAATTTCTTAAAACTGTGTATTATCTTTTCTAAATAATTTATTATTATCTACTGAAATAAAATATAGGTATAGGTACTCATTTTAGTAGTCATTTGATATTTAAATGATAGTGTAAGTGGATATTTATCTGGAAAAGTAAATGAGATATTATCAAATTGTCGTTTTACTGGTTCTTGGAAATAAGCACTTTATTGTTAATGATGTATTCAGGAACCTATGTGTTAAATACAGTGGAACTTGGTTATAGCGTCATTGAAGGGTCCAGTAAAAAAATGACGCTATATCAGATTGACGTAATAAAAGAGATAGTAAAAAATGAATGAATTTTATTACAGAATTATTCATTATTACAGCTGCATTTAGGATAAAAAAAATAAAGAAATACAACATATCATGGAAAAAGGAAAAAGTCAGTTATGTTCTTGTGCACAACCCTTTCCGAGAAATAAAGTTTTTCTGTAGTGTCCTTAATTTTAATAATCTGAGCTGATTCTTTGGTAGTTGTGGATTCTTCCCTGAACTGGTAAAACCTGGATATGGTCTGAGTAGCTTAGATTGTAGGACAATCAACGCCGTCTTCTTCTTCAATATCTTCATCAACATCCATTTCCACATTTTACACTTGTTTCACAATTTCTTAATCACTTAAAACTTGAAATGTTTTTACCTGATCGTCTACTGAAATGTAGGAGTCAAGATCAGTTCCAAACTCTCTCTGATTTACATTAAATTTTTGTACCCACTCTGACAAAGGCATTTCGTTATCCTCGTCAACATCCTGAACATTGGGTGAAACTACAGTCAATTCAGCTTGACGAAAGCACTTACAAATTGTCATTGACGTAACCACACTCCACGCATTATCGAAAAACTAAACTGCATCAAGGATGATAATGTTCACGGCTCCCCATTGTCATGTTTCAGATAATGGCACTTTAAACTTCTTATGATTCCTTGGTCCATAGGCTGCAAGACACTCGTGCAGTTGGCTGGTAAGAAAACTAGGTTCATATTGGTTAAATTAAGCTTGCGATGGTCTGCACAGTTGTCAACTAAGAGAAAAATTTTTCTTTTTTATTTTGAAGAGAGTTCCTTGTCCCACTTTCTCAATTCTTCTTTAAAAATAGCAGAAGTCATCCACTCTTTTTTTGTTGGCAGTATTTTTATGTTTTTAAAACATCTAGGATGTAAACTTGTCCCAATAACCAAAGGCTTTCTTTTCTCTGTACCTGTCATGTTTGCACAAACTAAAAGCCGTGACTCTTTGTTTTGAAAGCTCTCCACCGGCACATTTTTGATTTTTGAAATTTAAAGTTTTGTCTGGCGTTAATTTGTAAAAGACACCAGTTTCGTCGCCATTGAAGATATCTTCATCCTTGTATGGTTGCCTTAGTTGTGACCATGTGTTTTGTAACCAATCACCTGTCACGCTCTCTTCCACACATTTTGCCATTCACGAAAGTATTTTCGCAAGCAAGTTTACTTTGATTGCTATCGATATTTAACTTCATCTTTCCTCACTAGAGGTCTCTAGTAGCATACTCTCGTAATTATCTTCCTATAATTGCCTTAGTAGTCGGTTCATTTTGATTTGGTTTGAGTCTTCTTACAAACTCTCTCTGGTTACGGGTAGACCCAGAAACACGTGTAAGAGAATGGTAAGAGACTCTAAGAGGATTTTTAGGTCCTTTTGCTGGTGTCGGGAAGAGCTTGGGTGTGGTTCTTTCAAAATTCATATACAAGCTGTTTGTATTATATTTAAAATTAAAATGAATTGAGCACCAGCCTTTAATAGTTTACCCTCATAAGGAAACGAGCTCAGACAAAGAAATAAAGTGAACATTTTGAAACAAAGCTATTAACAAAACTAACCTTTAATATTTGTTAACGAAGAAAAAGTTATTAAAAGATTGTAGGAGAATTACATCATCCCGGAAAAAAATAAACAGTCTCGGTGGTTGTTGTTGACTAAATTGATGATAATATGGATTATTCATTTTAAATAAATAATCAATTGGTTTTCTCTTATCTTCACGGGAATCACGGAGTTAAAACTAACGTGATATTTGGGATATTCATCATGTCAATACTGAAAATTTTTGAAATTTGCTCATTTGTTTAACCTTAGATAAAAATCGTATTTTTTTATTATAGATTATGACGTAAGCACATTCAGTGGTTCCAAACGAGTGATCCTTAGTACAACTTCTGTAATGGGTGGAAAAAATCCTTTCTTGGGGATAGCATATATTGTAGTTGGATGTGCATGTCTCTTATTAGGCATTGCTCTTCTATTTATACACATAAAATGTGGCAAAAGGTAAGTTCTTTGAGGAATGTTTTTTATTATTCTGTAGAATTATCGTCACGGTCTTAGTTATCGGTAAGAATTTTCAGGAAATGATATGTTTAACTGGTAGGAATATGTATAGTTAACCTCAAAATTATTTTCCAGATCACTCCCAAAATCCTATTCCCGCCGAAACCAATCTCGACCTAGAATTTCGTATAGGAACGTATCCGTTTTTACGTACTAAACAAAAGAATCTTTATACGATTAAACATAAGGTAAAAAGTAAAGACAGATAGACATTTGTTTAATAAATAATTGTTTTATATTGTTATACTCTATTCCACGAATATACGATTGTTTTAAATTCGGTTTAAGATATCGATTTAAATGGTCCAATGTGCTGATTTGTACAGTAGTAAATTTTCCCCATTTTTAAAATACTGTTATGACAGATATAAACCTTAGATTTAAATATGAAGTCATGATATAAATGTAGAGTTGATATATTATAGAACAGTTGTAATTCAGATTTTGAAGTATATAATTACTATCATTGATTTTAGTACTGTAAACAAGTTGGTTTTTGAATTTAGTGATTTAAACGAAGTGTAACAATACTTAAGTGATTAAATAGTGTAATTGATTTAATCGAATATTCAATTAGTATTAAAAACAAAAAACCTACTTATTCTCTTATTTTCCAAATCTCCTGAAACTATCATCAACCATCAGATTCACAGCCATAATCACTGTCGTCGCTATCCTCATTCGGATGGTAAATTATAACAGGATTAACTAGCTTCGATTGTGACTCGATCCGTGACCTTCACGGATCCATCATTCTTCAATTAAGTCTTTACATATTTTTATATTTTTTTCCCAAATTTTGGGGCAATATCCAATGTTTGTTGCCATGTTTCCAAGACTGCTACGTCACTGTAACCCTTATATATTCTATCACCCAAATATATTTAATTTGATTGAATTGGCAATGATAGGGCGATAGTCTTAACACACAATGTCCAAAACTACGTATAATTTCGTCTACTATATTATCTACGTATAATTTCGTTCTACTATATTATATATAATATAATATATATATATATATATATATATATATATATATATATTATATATATATATATATATATATATGTTTGGTTGTGCCTGACTTTTAGCTAACGTTAGTAATTGAGGCTTAAAACAGTATTGAGGAAATGTAATATTTTTATTCGTTAACCATTCTTTTATTTTATCTACGGTTTAGGTGTTTGTTGGTTGCTTATTTAAAATTTACGAATGGTACATATTCCAGTATATTTCAACATATTCCAGTACTATAACGGATGGTTCATGTAAACTTGGCAAAAGTTTTTCTTTCAACCATTTCACAAACATCTCCGTATTCGTATTCTCATGATAATTGGTTGATTTTGATGAAAACACAAGATCTGCTCCCTCAATAAAACCATGTGTTCTACCTGCATGCACTATAATATATCTCTTTCCCTCGTTATCGATGTGTTTTATGAATTTTATACTCTCGTCCTGCCAAATCGTTTGATACCGCAAAATTCCATGTTTTGTCTAAATAAACGAAGGAAGAACATTCTTTTTTAAATTTGTTATAATTTCTTAAAAATTATATTCTTTTGTGAACGACGCTAGGTCTTTCAAAGACACAAAGCCTTTCTATCGTCTTCCTTTTTGAACTTAAAGCCAATCTATCTTAAAACTCTCCAGAGACTTGTTCTGGAAATTTCAAAAATATTTCTGTCTTTTAGTGATTTTTGTAGCACTGAATCTAAAGAAACATTTTCTTTCTTTTCGCGCATTTTATATAGTGACTCACGGATTTCAAATTTGCAACCTTCGGGAAGATCTATAGTCTTTGGTTGTCGGCGAGATTACATTGTGCGACTTTTTGTTCACTTTTTCAACTTTTTTTTGCTTTTTGCAAAACCGACTTTAATGTTTCATTAATACAAAGTGCATCACACACACACACGTTTATGTACGGACTGAACTGGTCGCAAAGGGCCCCCGTTGGTTTTCTCAGCAGTAAAATAAGAAAGTACATTAAATACAAAGTTGTCTACATCTAAAACACGTCTCAGCATTTTTAGCTTCAAATACACTACACTAAACTCTCTCTTAACGGACATCTCTCTTCACCGGACACCTTTATACGGACGGTTTTTAAAACTAAAATCAGTCGGTGATATATGATACTGTATGTAAATTTTCGTTACTTTTTAATATCTGTAACAACTCGGTACTTCAACTATCAATGGCCGGTATGTTATACCCGTTACTTTCGGAACTTTTAAGAGTACATCCACTCAAAGCAAACAAATATTTAAAACTAGCAAAATGAAATATTAGATTCTTTTTCTGGTTTCTGAACCATCGTTCTGCCAATTTCTTTTCATTTATATTAAAAATAGTATATTTCTTTTTATTACAGTTGGAGTACCTAATAAAGTAATAAAATAGTGTAATACAAAGAAACCCGATACGCCTCTTTGGTGTTTAGATTTCATCGAAACCCAACCCAAATGTCTGATGAATACATTTGGCTTCATAGACGTCATTGTATTTATTTGTAGGAGCTTTTGCGTAAAAAATTTTGTTATTTTCGAATTAAATTTCACAATAAATTTTGCGTCTATCTGAACATCTAATAACTGAAATAATTTTAGTTTAGATGTCATACTAACAGTAGATCTTTTTATTGGAATAATGATTAGACCAATTTACTTTCATACTTCTACTTGCACAGTAAAATATTCGTTGTCGCAATAATCCAAAACAGTCGTATATTCGTGGAATTAACTATAAATGGTAATAAATTATATAACATTAATATTTTTGTAGTACCAGTGAAATGATAAACGTCAACCCCCGAACACCGTACCAATAAAGGAGAATGGGACCTGCCAAACAATACCACCGGTTAATGTTTAAAGTATGTGTGCTTAGTTACCTCAGAAACATACAAAAGTGTTTTTTTCTTAATCAAATCTCCTGGCACTATGTGATAGACAGTGGCTAATGTAGGTATCTCAAGTATGAGCAAAGAAGTTAGTGGTTTTAAGTTAAGTACACTGCAGAGTTAGTTTTTTATTAATTTTTATTCGACTTAAACTGTTATCTCTAAAAGATGTTATATTATGTGGAAAGTATTTGGAATAGTTATTATAGCCATGAAATTTATCTTCAAAAGTTAATAAATTACTGATTAATAATAAATACGTGAAATCATAATTGTATTGATATATGCTCAGGTCTTTAAGTGTATTTATTTTGATTTTTTATTTAAATATATCGTGCGTTTACAATAAGAGACATTTGAACAATACGAGATGGAATGGAATGGATATTCGTACATCATATTTATATGCCAAACCATTTTTTAACTAGTACAGAGTTGTAACCCTAAGAAATAGATATAAAACAGATATATCTTGTAATACTACAAACTTATTCTACTACTCACTGTTTGAGAAGTTGACTGCTGCGCTGTTTAGTGAGTTTAATTTGCGCTAGTGAAATGACAAGTGAAATGCCGAGTTTTGGATTTGCAAACTACCATATCGCTGTTCTAAATATCCAGCGCTCTAGAGGACTTTTTTACTCAAACTGATGTTAAATTGGCGGTGTTTTTACCCTAATTCAATGAAATGAGAGAGAACTGACACAATTTACATCTACTCTTCTTCGATTTTAATAAAAAGTACAACACTGGCCAAAATCAGTGTTAATAGTTTTCCTAGTAAGTTAAAATCACGCCAAAAATACCTTTTTTCGTCATTAGGCATCAATTAGGAGCAGACTAAGGCCTAGGCAACCAAGGCACACGCCACACGCCTAGGACCGGTAATTTTTGAGCCCCGAAAACTAGATTTTTAGTTTTTATAATTAATTATGCCGAATCGTTGTTTGATAAATTCTACAAATGTGAACGCGCATTCCCGGGCTTATGCATCCAAACCCGCAAGTGTCGATGTGTGCAAATACGACAGTATTATCGCCTATCGAATTTAAAAAGTCAAACGTAGCTATTTAAATCAGTCTGCGGAACGTTACGTATTGTATCTTATGTGAGTTTTTTCCTAAATATAGAAAACCAATCATCAGCCACTTCGGCTACGTCGGAATTTGGAACGCCACAAACACCTTTACTATCCAAAAATGAAAAGAAGGATGGTTCTTATCTTCAAGCTATCAAGAAATATATCTCTGCAAATTACAAAGTAGATGCGGAAAAAGTTGCACCGTTCATCAAAAAATAATTAAAAGCTGAAGTTGCTACTGGATCATTGGTGTAAACGAATGGAAAAGGAGCGTCGGATCTTTAAGTTAGCGTCTATCTCATCGTGTTCTGCATCTACAAAGCCTAGTTTAGGAGAAAATGAAAGCTGGAGGAACAACTAAACCGAAAAAAAAACTGCCATCGCCACCAGAAGCTGAATAATGTAACCCTGTATCAATAGCAAAATTAACGACGTATTTAATAAATCGGAAAAGTTTCTCCTACGGTTATTCACCTTCTTCTTCTTTTTGTGCCACTCCTATCGGAGATTGGAAATCATCAAGGCTATTCTGACCTTGTTTACGGCTGACCTAAAGAGTTCATTAGTGGTGCAACCAAACCACTCTCTCAAATTCCGCAACCATGACATTCTTCTACGGCCTGGATTCCGTTTTTCTTCTATTTTTCCCTGCATTATATTTTGAAGTAATGCGTATTTATGTCCTCTCATCAGGTGACCAAAATATTCGAGTTTTCTTCGCTTTAGCGTTAACAAAATCTCTGGATCTTTTCCTATTCTTCGTATTACTTCACAGTTTGTTATTCTTTCAACCAATGAAAAAAATGGTTATTCACCAATGAAAATTAAACCATCCACCACTACACTATGACACAGATTTTTGAGACGACATAAACACCTGTGATTTAAGAATTGTCAACAATCTGTACTGGAATCAAACATCATCTATCCGGACAGAGGCAGGAGAATCCCACGATATCAAAATCAAACGTGGCGTCCGTCAGGGATGTATACTATCACCACTGCTGTTTAACATATACCCTGAGGAAACCTTTCAAGAAGCAGTGGGTGATGTTGAAGCCGGAATTCGAATCAACAGAGAATCTATCAATAACATTAGATACGCGGACGATACGGTAGTATTCGCTGACAGTTCTGAAATCCTCAAGGAGTTAATGAACAGAATCACAGAGATCAGTCAGAGATACAGACTTTCACTAAACACTAAGAAAACAAAATGCATGATGATCTCTAAAAAGGAACAGCAATTTGGACAAATCAGTGTAAACGGTCAACAAATAGAAAGAGTAAAAACATACACCTACCTTGGTACGAACGTCAATGAAAATTGGGACCATGCCATAGAAATCAAATGTAGAATAGAGAAAGCAAGATCTGCATTTCAAAAAATGGCTAAGTTATTCAAATGTCATGATTTATCAATGCCCATAAAAATCAGGTTACTACGATGTTACATCTTTCCTATACTGTTGTACGGAGTTGAGCCATGAACTCTCACAGGCGCCACCTGCAAGAAAATTGAGGCTTTTGAAATGTGGCTTTATCGTCGCATCCTGAAGATATCGTATACCGACCACGTTACTAATGAGGGTGTTCTGTTGGGAATGAAAAAAGCAAAAGAGCTGTTAACCACAATAAAGCCAACACAACAGCCAAAATAGAATACCTCGGTCACATCATGAGGTACAGCGAAAGATATGGACTGCTGCAACTAATCTAAAAGTAGAAGGAAAACGGGGACCAGGAAGGCGAAGGATTTCCTGGCTGAAAAATCTACGAACGTGGTTCGTAGATAGGCACTACAAGAAGAAGAATAAAAAATGTAAGAACAATTTCCAGATTCATCAATGAAATCCATATTGTAATCGAATGGCCAAAACGTAGGAACTTATATTCTACGTGAAACTTTTATCGCAACGTCGCCGTCGTATATTCTGTGCTCAGATAAAATGATTGAGGGGTTCTGAACTTTCCATCAAGGCTGATCAACTGTTCGCCATTGTACATAATTTAGCCAAAGTAATTTTACTATAGTCCTAGTAGAGTCTCAATCTTGACTACTCTGTCCTGCCAGTCGTTTTTTCTGTTCTTTCCAACTGTCAGATACCAATTTAACATTCCTTTTTACACCCTTCAATCTCAGTTCTGGCCTACGCCTACTCTCATTGTCTATTGCCAGATAAGGCAGAGGAGGTTTATTTGAGATGATAGTTTGTATTCACTCTTGACAGTTGTCGCCGATCTTTCTTCTTCTTTTGTCTGTTGATTTTCGTAGAGTATTGTGACAACATGTCTTTATCGTTCGGATCGTGGATTTCCATTCTGCTCTGTCTTGAGCTGCTAGAGAAGCTTCATATAGACCATTTCAAATAATTCCTCTCATTTGAATTACCCAGCGTGTGGGAGACCTTCTTAGCGGTCATTTGCCATTGATTCTATCCCCCCTCATACCTGCGATCTACTGCTATTTATTTATACTGCAAATCTCACTCACATCATTATCTATCACAAGTTATACCACCTTATAATCGATCACTTGTACGCTGCGGAAATGCTGTAGTGATAATAAATTTTGCGGAACTTTTGAACTGTGTTTTATTGTTAGATAAAATGAATTTTCATCAAGTAATGGCCGAATCCATCATTTATTTATACCACCTTGTCCAGAGGCCGTTTTTACAGGTTGCATTTGTTGCATTGTGAATGAATTTTCATCTGTTTTAAGGTAATTCATATTTTCAACCCATATTTCAGTACAGGTAGAATATGGAGTGTCATATATTGTTCGTTTTTTTTTTTGGTGTACGTTTCTTTTCTGGCTGCTCGACGAAAACTCCATCTCTGTGTCAATACAATCAGTTAGTGGAATATTTCGGCGATGAGGAGAGACTTCTGGGTTTCTTTCATGCACAGGGCTACAATTAGGGGTATGTAACTCACAGCATTATTAAGGCATTCGAAAAATAGAATCAGTTCGTGGAATATTTCGACAGTTGAGAGACTTCTAGTGCACAGGGCCGGAATTATGGGTATGTAACTCACAACACTATTAAGGCATTCCCAAAAATATCGGGTAATACCATTATATGGACATCACAACCGACGTTGTGGTTATATTTATCACTCCGTAATCTCGGTTATTCAGATCTCATCAAATTCCCGAAATACTTTAACTAAAATGAAAATTAATCGTGTAACACCTGAGTATGTACATCTTCATAAAAATTATATGCAATACTTGGAAAACGTACTTTTTTTAATTATTGCTTCTCAATACTTTCCACAAACTTACATAGAATATTGTTTTCATTTTTCTCGGTACTTAATTGTTTACTTAATATTGTTAATTACTTTATGTTTATGGTTTACTACATATTTATAATTTGATATACCCATTAAAAATTTAACACTAAACAAAGTTATGTAACTGTCATCGTGTATAAAACAATGGTTTATATATTCTGACATGCTTAAAGATCTTATATAATTCGGTAGTCGTTCGGTAGCCAAAACTCACCCAAACCTGCGACTTAAAAAGATATATAACAGATTATAATGTTCATTGGTATATTAGTCACATATATTCTTGAAATTCTCAATCGAAACATTTTTTTTTCAATTTCTTAAAAAATATTTACATAATGGGGAATCCATTGTGATAGAAAAGTATGAATATTTGTCTTCTAATTTTTAGTGGGTATATCAGCCATATTAAATGCAATTTCTAGTATAGAACACACGAAGTGGCCTTGAGTGTTAGTATAGATAGAATAATATAGATTTATATTTATAAAAATATGTATTTCTTTTTTATTAATACAACTCCAATGGCCAAATTAATAATAATAAACCAGTTGGTTGTTAACAACAAAGACTATGCTTTATTGATAAACGTTACCAAATAATTAGAATCAAATTTATCGGACTTACAGCTTTGAACTTCTGTACTATACCTAGATATTTTTGCATTATCTCGTTGACGGATTATCTTCTATACATTCTTAAACTCTTGTACCCGAAACTTTCCCCATGAAAATTCTTATGTTTTAATGGAGTTCGAAACTAAGATTATTATTTTCTGCTGAAGATGCTTTAATTTATTATAAGAGAGTTTAAGGAACGTATTAAAGATTCAATTAAAAGTGTTTAAGTGGCACACAACCAAAAATTATTGCTTAGAAAACCCGAAAAATAAACGTAGTCCTTTTACCATTTAATGTGTTTGTGTAATGAACATTTTGGGTAGTAAAGAATATTGAAGAACACTGTGTTCTTCATTTGCAAAATATGGTACCGTAACAATAATGATTTATAATCTAATTCTCCTTTACATACATCTCCTTCCACGGCAGAAGTATAGAGAAAGTGCCGATGAAGTTAGCTACAAATTATTGACAGATTTGTATTTGGCAGTGTTGCCATATCACAAATACACAAATCACGAAAGAACGTGCGAAAGTTTTTAAAAGAAGTTTAATTAATTTAAATTTAAGTTATTATAATTTAAATTAACTTTGATTGTTTAAGCATTTATTCAGGTACATCAGGTACATTCAGGTAAAATTGAAATCTGCTGAACATGTTGCAATTTGGCAGCTAGTGTTTTCAAAGTTTTGACAGTATTGCCAAGTTTATTTACTAATCTACTAAAGGCCAATTATAACTGCAACTAATATCAAAAGAAACAAATATTCATTCGTTCGTGTTTTATATGAATTTAAAAAATACCCAATTTCATAAAATAATATAATAAAAATGTACTTTTTCAAAGCATATTTCAGGCATAAAACATATACATAATAAGGACATGGCAATACCGCAAACACAAATTTGACATGGCTTTTATAGCCAACTTCATCGGCACTTTCTCTATACTTTTGCCCCTTACAAAATATGATAGAAAACATTTCGTGCTTGCCTTCTATTTAACCTACTTTGAATATTTTATAAATTGTGAGAATAAACCATTATAGTTGTAATAAAATTACATGTTTTGGACATACAAAAATGACATAACCTGGAAATATG